TTCCGTGTTGGCCACTTGTTTATTGTTTGTTACCAAAGTAGAAACTCGTAAATCTCTGTGTTCCATAACTGCTTACATGTTCCCAACTTAATACCTTAAGCCTCCTGAATTACTCTCAAATAAATATGAGAACGTTCCCTTTGTCCTCAAAGTCTTCACGTGTTGGATGTTTGTTGTCACTTTTACAGTCTTAAATTTACGCCACGATTCATCAATATCTGTCGCCCTTTCTGACACTTGGCATTCAAATGGTCCTGGGTTAAGAGGACAATTGGTAATTGTTATGTATTGCAGATAAGTTTACGTGCAAGTTTGCAGACCATCCAATGCTTCAAGAAACCAAACCAAACTTGTTCTGCGACATTGCTTATTCTAAGGCAATAATTTTCTTGTAAAGCCGACACTTTTCACTTGGACGACGATGATGCGTTCCATTGAAAATGCTTTTCAGACTACCAAAGTATGTACATATGCTGCTGATAAACACTTCACTTTGCATTATTTTTTGAATGTGAAATATTTGAACTTCTTTGAAATCTTGAGCAAGTTAGCACTTCAACTTCTGTATTTTTTGTGTATTACCAACAAATATTTAACTTTCATCCTACATTTGAGCAACTATCTATATGTATTTACTCATTGTAAGATGTCGTAATTAATTGGTAAAAGGAATATTATTGAATGGATAGAGTATAATAAATAATCAATAAGAATAAATAATAAATGAATCCATTTTTTCCGCTCGAGCTACAGTGAAAATACAGGTTTAATGGATCAGTTGTTGTAAAGTAATTCATCAGGATTTCATGCGGGTCAAATAATATGGATGGCCAAGCAGGAAAATGGAAATGCTGAAAAGAGCGAAGATTAGATGAGATTAAGAACTCAATAGAACCAAAGCACAAAAAGGTAGCAATCGACGTGGTAAGCCTCATCAGCCTCAAATTCCACTTCTTCTTTGGAGGTAGGAACGCAAAGGTGGGTAAGTAAGCGTAGTTGCTGTGAGGTACGAATTCCTGCCCATTTCTGACCTTTTCAAGTCTGGTTGAAATCCTCATCTTTCCTTTCTTTGTAATTATCATGATCCAACACGGTAAAAAATTGAACTTGAGATGTAGTTCTGTTGTGATGATGGATGATCAATTATCGCATACGTACATATAAACACAAGACATGTGTAAACGTGTGAAGTTTCCATTACGCACTTTCAAATAAATTAAATAAATTGTTCAGTTTATTCGGAAAAGTTTCTGCATCTACGTAATTAAACCGAGATGGTTTTAACTGATTGAAAATTCCAATTGATGCAATTTGAAATCTTTAAAATGGTGCAGTATAATACAGTTTTGTATGGATAAGCTCTTCCGTTTACTAATAAAAAGCATCACATCACTTCAGAGGTTCCTCTCCGAAACGCAATGCATTCATCAATTTAAAAATCTTTGAAAAGAAAGTAATCTGTCTGCGTAGGTTCTTCCACTGGCAACGAAATAATAGAAGCGAACAGTGCGGGCGTGCAGCTCTATAGCTTTTATCATAATGATGGAAATTCTATACAGATCATACTCAGTTAGCTTTAGCTGAGACGATTTCGAAGTGTACAGAAGGTTTTAAAATTTTAAGAGTGGTGCCTTTACCGAGCCATTAAACTGACAAGGCAACTACTATACATAAAGTGAACGAGTTATGTACTGTGCGGGTGGAGCTTAAACCTACGGCCTCCTGAAGTACCTTGTGCTGAGACTAGGGTTTCTCGTGAGTTTAGCTCCATTCGCACAGCACATAACTAACTCACTTCAAGTATAGTTCGTCCCTTGAATAGAAGTTGGCAAAGTGAATGCATCTTTCAAAACGATCTTTTTAGGCTGCTCCTCACAGCATAAGACATTTACAATACACGTGAGACACCAATGTAAGCCAAGGGATAATTGAAAAAGACTGGAAAATGGGCATGTTATTGACCACTTGTTAATGTCAAAAAAGATGGTGTTTTGTTGAGTGAGAAATTAACTGTTACTGTTTTCACCAAAATTTCTCAAGTTCGCACTCGTGTGTCCAATCTCGTTCAATTATCAAAAGTGCTCTTTATTCGTCAAGGGCTCATTATCTCAATCTATGTACTTTCTCTATTTATAGTTTAGCCAGTCAACCATATATGTACGTATATGGTAATTATTTAAACTTGTTTAGCACAAATAAACTTGTAGCTCATTAATTATCTGGTTGCATAACTTGATAACTAGGCAAAATGTTTCAGATTTTGCTAATTAAGTACTTTACCAGTGGACAGAACGAAGGTATGCATGTATACCATTAAAATTAGCCTCCTGCACATATTTGTTAGTGGATGACTGTAACAATGCGACTCATTTCTTGCCTCCTTCACATTTAAAATCAAGCACAATGAGTTCTAAGTTCCATAACCAACCATTTCGTTCCTAAAATTTTCTCGGGTTTGAAACCAAATCCAAAGAATTACCCGTCACGGTTGACCAAAAATTCATGGATATAAAGAATTAGTCACAGATCTGGCCAAGTTTAAGAAAGATGGAAAAGATCCTTTCCTCATTTCAGAGAAAACGTGTACCCAATGAAATGAAATTGTAAATGTAATATATAGTCGAGGCCAAACAGCCCTGACAATAAATCCCAAAGCTCAATCTTCCCCCGTTCTCAATGGAATAATAATGCAAGTAAACCGAGCCAGTTCACTGATCTATTATCCCATTGTTAGCAAATACATGCCGTACTCTACTACCCATGTCTTTAACTGCGTGCCTTCACTAAGCAAGGCTAGCAAACTTGTTCAAAAACTTTTACTCTTTTGAGGTGGAAGAACACACCGAAACACAACTACACACAGGATTTGGCTGAAAGCAAGAATTAGATGAATTGTCAATTGAACAGCTATGAGGATGGATTCATTGGACTGGACGGAACTCTGATATTATTATTCCAGTCCAAAGTAGTAATGAATCTGACAACGGCATAGCACACCACTTTTCCTGGGCTGTAACTACATTTTGCCAACACACAATAGCGTTGGAGTTGAGCTATTGGATCATTGTGTTCCTATGCAGAGGTTCGTTCAATAAGCTTTTGGCTTTCTGTATGATATACACACAATTACAAAAAGGTATTGAATTTTAAGCGACGGACCAAATTACTTAAAACTGCAACCCAACCCAGCCACAATAATATTGAGATTACCTCCTCCTACAAGAGATGCACAAAATCTCGCAAGTCTAAATGCATATGAATTTGCTGTGGGTCGTTTTGAGATCGTAACATGACATTTATTGCTTGTTCGTAAGTTGGTACGATTTTCTTGTAATATGATTTGCTTGTAATCAGCCAAAAACGAATGGAAACAAGAAGAATGATTCTTTTTTTTTCATCCCAAAATCATTTGAAGGAACTAATCGTCAAGCTATTTACCTTTCGACAAGTCACCAAAGACGATTTCAGCGCCCTTCCCACTTCCTGCACTTCATGCCGCTTGCAAAAACTATAGGAGTCAAAATTTGAAATGTGGGACGGGCTTGCTTACTTTTGAGTGGGTGGGTTGCTCTTGGAAAAAATCATTAACTTGTTTGTGAGGATTCGTCTTTGCTATTTTTCATATAATAATGATAACGAGGGAAGTACCCAGAATTTGTGAGAGGTAGAAACCTCCGGTAATGTTCCAAGTGCCGATAATTCAACCTCGGATCATATCTATAGCCAATCATAGTTTGTAATGTATGTAATGAACAAAACGTTGGCGGGATGAGATTATTATCAGATATTCGACATACATTTGCATACTTACGCCCACCAGATTGGTTTAATCAGTTTTTAATGTAACAATATGGCCATCACAGGATAGTAAAATCACAAACCAAGTGTAGGCCAAAGTACCCACATCACTTGAAGGCATACGCAAGTGTGGGTAGAAATTACTGAGGAATGCAAGCAGGTCGCATATGGCAGGCGAGAAAGAGAAGTAAAAAGCACACACGGAGAACTAACCTAAAGCACAGCAGAGCAGAGAACAAAAAAACTGACCGAGTATTTTGTAGGTCTATTGTTCCTTGGAGGGAGGAAATGATGTGATGTGATGCGATGTGATATATGTATGAACAGATCAAATTCATCGATGCAATAACGAAATTATTTAGGTAGAAGACAAGACAAATTATGTTCAAAGAACGGAATAATAAAATCCTGCTTTGGAGCGTGATGTACTTTGTTTCAAGTTTAAGCAGGCTGGATACTGAGTAAAGTTATGAATTATAAAAGATTTTCGGTGAGATTTAAAGCAAGAATGTTTCGCCATATGGTTGGAATGATATCACGTCCTCTCCACTCCCACTTATCGCCGTGGTAGGTTGGCTTCGAATGAAGTTCATCACTTTTCTGACTTGCTAATAAATCCGACCGACTTGAACACTTGCAACTTTGTCATTTCTATTATTTCGGAATGCATCATCACCTGACTAATTGTAAGTAAATGCATGTGTAGGTATTCATTCCTCAGTTTAACTACCTCAACTAATTGTACCTCATGAAGATTAACGATGATATTTGGCTCGGAAATATTTCATACTAAATACTTGAAAGTAATTTAAATTCCTTGGATCATGCATACCAAACTGCATTTTTGCGAAATCGAAGTGAACCCCATGGTGTGCCAAAAACTACAATTCTCAGCCAGCTGGAATGAAAAAGATATTCAAAGCAGGTGGCTTAACATTTTCTCAGGCTCTGCAGGAATGTACAAATGTAACGTGTATTGCCTAACCTATGCATCATATTGTAGGTTCAGATTGTGCGAAAAGTTGAGCCAGGTGAGAAGATGATATTAAAATGCTCAATTTTTTTATATGTACTTATGCATGTGAAATGTGAAAACTTGTATTAAATGCCGATATATAGGAAACAATATTGCAGATGGAAATTCCAGTCAATAATATTGCAAAATAAGATGAAATTAAACCAGTTCGTAATTCGTACACATGTTTAAATCTCCTTTACGTCTCTTTTTAACAGAGAATTTTTTATTGTTATTCCGCCATCTTTTTTCATGTAATTATGTCACATTTTACAGAAATGGTTCTTGCATTGCAATATAGGAATAAATGTCGATTTTCTAAACTACAAACTACATCTAGTATCACAGTTTACAAAATATACGAATTCATAAAGTCAAAATTGAATGTGTATATTTCTTTCTACTCGCTACAACATTATTAGAGATCTACTCTGAATAAAATCATAAAATAAAAATAATAAAATTATCGTAAAACTATTACTGATGAGGATCGAAAAGATGGCAAACGGTTGCGACTGAATAGAATAAGATTGTAAATAAATCCTAATGAAAGCAAACTGATTGAAGTAATTGATTAAACAAATTAAAACTCAAATGATTGGTAGAGTTGATTTGATTATATAAAAATATTTAAAAGAATACAGAGTCTTGGCTGATAGTGTCAAAATCCGTGTTGTAGGGACAAGAGGATGAGGATGAGATTGAGGAAGAGACGGAGGACATCAAGGCTCGTTGACGGACGAAAAGTCGGCGAGGTTGTTCTGGTGAACTGTCGTACTCGATTTGTGAATTGATTGAATTTTGTTCTTCCGCATTAGCTTGAGCTTCGAGTAACTCATTAATGCGGTTCTGTTCTTCTTCCGCCGAAAAATCAAAGTCCAATGACATGACAGACGATACTGAGGATGAGACGGACCCAGATTTGCGTTGCTGCTGCTTCTGGCTCAAAAGTCCCCAATAACGGTTCAAGTTGATGCGAGCAGATTTGGCGATTTTTCGGAATGGACTTAGTCTGGTACTCTATAAAATCAAAATAAAAATATCATAAGTATGACTGCGTGTGAATATATTTGTACACGAAAATAAACACTGAAACCGCTTTGAAGAAGCTTGTTCCGAATTAATTTCCTTTAATTTTATCGAAATCTAATCAAAACTTCAACTTACCGGTTTGCTCAAATTTAGTAAATTTGACTGCTGCAATAGTGCAGGGTTGATGGCAGCCACCGGCACGACGGAGAAAGTAAGATCCTTTGAAACATGGCACATTTTGATTTACTTTGTTAAGTTTAGTGGAACACTTTTTTGTCAGGTTTGTAATGGTTCTCGTGTGAGTTTGCAATGTGGTTAAACAACTCGAGAGGAGAGATGCGACGAGATGCGTTGGGGCGAAAGGTTGTGGCAAGAATGTGGATGTCGGAGCAGTGAAGTTCTCTTTTATCATGCCCGGAACGTGTCAGTTGGTCTGCCAAGCACACTCGCGGACCATTTTCCATTACAATATTACGGGGATAAAATGTAAGCCCTTGGATGCAAACGTTGCTCACAACCCACCACCGACCGCCATGCCGTAGGGTCGCCCAAGGGCCTTCCCCAACCACACACTCTCGTTCCTTTCTTCCTTCCTTATTCCTGCAATCTCTCGCTCTCTCTGGGGGCCGATCTATCTCGTGCTAAGTAAATATACCTCCACTGCTCCTAGCGTTGATGCGACCCTTCAAGTACTCCCTCCACATTTATTTCCATTAGTTTTATACGCATCGTAGGTTACCTACATCCACCCGAGATTGGGTTTTAAGTGGAGATGATAATGATGACGAAGCCACCGCATAAGAGAGAGCGGCGGTAGAAAATCCTACTAGGTAGTTGTTACTTCCTAGATAGTTGTATTCTCCTGGAATACGTTTTTGCTGTAGAATTATTATTATTATTATTATCAGTGCTGGGCTATTGACCAAATGAAGGGTCATACAAATACATAGGAAAGGCTCGACCAGGAAAACTGAAAAGGCTGACAGGGTACAATTCCACCACCACCACCAGAGAAACGAAACGACCCCCACGCATTCTTACCGACCGACCCTTGGAGAGCTGAGATCTGTGAGAAAACACTCTCCTCCACGAAATAATCTTCTCTCGAAGGAATGAACACCTGCTCGTGTCAAACATTTACATTAACCCAGAAAGAAAAGTTCCCACACATCACAATCTCCACAATTTATTTATGCCCTCCTACACTCCACATAATGCTTGGTTTATTTGTTATATATACTCGTTACTTACTTCACTTACTTACTTCCACTAGTTAGCTATACCCATTCTTCTCCTTGTTAATCGCAATCTCCTGACGAAACCCATTACAGACACATAATGATCTATTGACCAATTCAAGCGTGCAATGATGCCAATCCTATCTACCTTTTGAATAGATCTGCTCAACAATGCCAATCCAGCACCCTCGTAACTGCCTTAAGAAGGTTTATTGCTGATTGTCCGGACAAAGAACTCGGAATACGTTTTCTCACTTTTACTTGGTTATTGTTCATCTCGAAAAAACGTTTCCACGCTGAAAAATTATCCCAAAGGACATTTTTCATCAATTACAACATTATTACGTGGCCCTGTGTATCTTATAATCTCAACAAGATTCTAAAATTCGATGCCAATCACACAAATAATTTACATTTTGGAAAACTACATTAGCTGCAAGAGGGTGGGGAATTATTTTGTTTATTTGTACAAGAAATATGAGTAGAATATCCACATTGTCTCACGTACTCGCATGACTCGGTCGTAATCAAATCTTGACGCACATCATGAAAATCACACACACACACAACTCTCGAGACCTTTTGTCTTAAACAAGTTGAGGGGGAGGGTGGATTTCACTTGTCCGTGCTTCCATTCTATCACCAAATCGATGTCAGCCCGGAGGAGCATCAGGGTGAAATTGCTTTCATTTACTCCTCCGTCTAATTTACTAATATCACCACAAAAAAAACTCACCCCAACCCCGGCAGCAGCAAGAACAATGTTTTATTGTTATGGGCTGAAAGCTCTTGACTTGTGAGGATTCATTTCTTTTGGGCACGTTTTCCAAGAAAAAAATCTCATTACCATGCAAATCCATGCACCCTTCGTCCTTTATTTCTTGGCTCGCTCGCGCAACGTCCACTTAAAACTTAACACGAACATGCTGCCCTTGATGAGATACAAAAGTAAATAAATACACAGCTTTGTGTGGCTATATGCTTCCCTCTTCTTCCGACAGAATAGAAAACACATTGTGTTTGGGTCAGCCGTTACGATTTTCTGGAAATTATAGCAATTAGAGTGGAATGGAGGGAAACAATGAGAACGGAGACCGTAATGAAGCACGATAACGAAGATGCATGTATGCATATTATATGTTGGGCTTGATAAAGTGAGCTCAAGATATTATTCGGCAGGCAGAGGATCGAGAGGGTACTTGATGCACAGGTGGATTAGACACTCGTGTTATCATGCACACTAATGATGAGCCTCAAGTTTGTAGTTATTTATGTCTTCTGAAAGATTAAAATCGGTAGCAGGATTTAACTGAGGATGGTTGATTAGAAATCAGTTATGTTGCTGGTCCATAATTTTAAAACCGAAGAAAGGAAATTACAGGAGGGAGCTTCTATACGCCCAAATCTATTCAAAGGGTTGAAAATATTAATCCGTTTTGAAGGCTGATTTTTAAGTATTACGAAAATTTGTCATCTAAATATGGCATTTTCATGTCCAGGAAGAACTTTAAGCTAAATCAAGTTATACCGAAGGACGACGATATAGGATTATAATTAATCTCCTCCTGGAAAATTTTAACCTCTTTTGTGCTCCTTTCAACTTAATGATGAGATATGATTCTTCATAATATAGTCTTTAAATTGGAATGCAAATTAGGAAGGCGTAATAATAGTAGCACCGTCCCGATGACCTGAGCCACATAATTCACAGTGAAAAGAAAAAGCTCAAGATCTCTGCCGCATGTGAATATAATCTCATAATCATGAAGCATAACTTCCTCTCATTTCTTAATCTGCATTACCTATGAATTTGTAGTACCTATTTATGTACACGTACGTACATACATACGTGTGTGCATTACGTTTTTCATACCAGGGAAATCTGAGAATTGTGTGCCACTAAAGGTGTGTGACCATAGTGGGATAAGCTATAAAAGCAAAGTCATCAATCGCAAAGACTTTTTAGTATGAAAAGTCAGTTACGAGACCCTAAAATAGAGGGAGGTTGTGCACTTCCATTAGAGATACAGCCATCAAATAGAAAAAGCAATCAAAGTCATTAACTTTGATATTGCCTTTTTGTGGCTGTTAAAGAAGTGTAACCAATTTCATCCCATGACGGAACATGTACCACATTCGATTGGACACACACAGATGATGACGATGGTGTCTTAGAAATGAGGGATATAGTGAAGTGAAGTTTAAATTTTTAAACTCGTTGAGCATATTGGGTATTGAATTTCGTGAGCTCAGCGCACCTACACATGAAGAAACGTTCTTGTTGCCCATAATATTTGTGAAGGCTTCACGGTTGTTGGACGCAGGCAACGCTTGGACTCCAAGCAAGTTAAGTACCGATAAACCGGCCTGGGACGACGACAACGAAGAAGAAGAAAATTGTGATGATGATGATGAGGCTGCTTTGTGTAAGCAGGCGCATATGCTGTCCATGCAATTTGAGAATAGCTGAATACGAAGATGGAGAAGAAGTGGTTTGCCTAAGTGAGCTATAGTTATATGTTTATGGTGTGGTTGGTATTTATACAGACATCGTCTCGGTTTACATTACGGAAGCCGGAGTGAGACGACTTTCCCACGGTTCCACTTTTCCCACGACTGCCAGGCCTTCTGTTCAATTTTCAATACCTCAGCTCGTGCCAAACAAATGGCCAGGCAGGCAGGCATCTACCAACCCCATCATCCAGCCCTTTCTTTACTCCACACACGCAGTCGTAAAACACAACAATGCAACTGTACTGCGCTCGCTTTTTGTCCACTTTTTTTTACCACTACTACCCTCGCTCTCGTGCATTCAGACATTCGTCTGCTATGAGCACATATTTATTTATGTGTATATCTCGAGTTGTGATTGGAGCCTTACGTAAGCGCAACTCTGTGAGGCACTGCATGCGAGCGTTAACATGGGTCTTTTGAAATATGAGCCTGATTATATGTAGACGACGACGACTTTCAACATGCTTAGGAGATTAGTCGAGAGAATTAAGTCTGCGTTGTGCACTTTCTTTCTCATCTTTCCCTGGGCCGAGACACTTATTCGAGTTGATTGTTGAGTAGTGGACGGAGAAGTGGGGTGGGTTTCTTTGAGTTGATCAGATACGCTATTCAATTACATATACAATCGCTCCCTTCGAAATGCTGAGTGGATTTGTGTGACCAGTTATTTTTTATATGTCAACTTGCCCCTGTTTATCTTACACTCGTACTCCTTTACAGTCCGGAGCACTATATCTTTTTATCTCCCGCATTGCATTTCATCCCTTTTTCTAACAATACAAATGTACATGCAATGGCAATAAAGCTTGAAATTAGACAAGTAATTCGAGTAATTAGATGATATTGAGATTTTTTCGTAGTAAGAAAGCAACCAGTCAAAGCTGGTTTTATTCAGTTATCATCGTGGATTCTTAAATGTAAACAAAAATGTGTCAGTTATAAATGCTACACATGTCACACACAGTAATACCCAAATTACTATGCAAAATTAATTAATCATGAAATGGCTCATATATTTATTGCGATATTGGTTCGCCAAATAAAGCGCTCGCAGCTTATTTACAAATAACTTTGCGAACTGACCTTATAAACAAGCAATGTTGTAATGACGATAACATGACCACTTGTTAATGCAACATGTGGATTGGATGAGTGGTTGCATGCATATTTATTAATGTCAGTAATTGCACAGGGACAAAGGAACAAGAGAAATGGCTGGTCAATACATCACCTCCTGCCTCGCGTTCATTCATGAATTTGCGAGTCATCATTCACAAAAATGGAGAGGTTGATTGATCCGGCAGATAGGTGGGCAAAGGTGGAGCAATTTGAATACAGATCAGCATATGTGAACCTTAAGAGTAAATCCGTGGGAATGGGGTTTGACATACGATAGCACGAACACACGCTCTCTCACAACAAATGCCACTACAAAAGTACAATTGCAATCATCCTCATCGCTACATAATAACTCTACCAACCAAGTTTTAAGTAGAATGCCTAAACGCCATATGAAGTGCGGCAGTGATACAGATTGCCTGTTGTTGTTGGCTGAGAATGACTTGGGTGGGAAAACACTCGGAATTCTATTATCCCATAATAATAATAACCAATTGAGAAAACGTGCTGCAAATATGCGATCGTTGTTCATGAATGAAACGCTTTTCCAGGTACCAGTTGCGCTCTTTGTTCTCGCATTGTTCTCCGCATACATGTTTTAAACAGGAACGTCGTAAAAGTCAAGCCACCCCATTGTACCAATTTGTGTGTGGTAGTTGAGTCGGGACGTATAAAAAGTTTTGCTTTGCATGTTTTGGTTGTTGTTATGTTGATACTTGTGAAAATGGGGCAATCGAATTTCCAGTTTGATTGCATCAAATATCCGGTGCAGGTAGAAGGGGAACTCCAGATCGGTGTGTGCATTCAATGTAAATTTAGACTTTTACAATGGATTCATGTGAAAGCATGTGGCATTTTATGGTCTTTGAATTGAAAGGGTGATTATAAAATTAGATTGTTGTCTCGTGCTCGAAAATAAATAGGGGAGCAATTACCATTATTCCTGCCACGCATTGAACATCAGCGGTCGGCAATCAGCCTTGACAACATTTGAATCCACAGGTTCTTGAATTAACTATCTCACATCAGGACATGTAGCATGAGAAAACATGAAACACTACCCTTTTTCACGGGAAATACAAGATTTTTATTGCATACTCTGATTGCATTGTCCCATTTCCTAACAGGGTGTGACTCTGAATTCCCATGCGATCGTATTCATCTGATTGCATGAGAATTCAGAGAGACAAAATATAATTATTCTGGATTAATTCAAATATTTGGTGCCCAGAACACGAGTTGTGGGATGCAACGAGATTTTTTGTCATGCATAATAATAAATAGTAAATATTGGACTTTACTGGTTGAAATTAAATTATAATTGTTTGTTTACTTTGCGTTGAATGGCATCAGCTTATGATTGTTCATAATATGAACATCATATATGTATTTTATTGGTAATCACGTCTGTGGATTGAAGCATCTTCTGCTTGTCTTGTTCTGACCTGGTTTCTCTCTTAATGTAAAAATGTTCAGGATGAGATTTCCAGTTGTACTTATCATACATAGTGTTGATTAAATATTGAATATAAATATAGCATTAATATCGCATTAGGATGTTTACTGAGTTATTTCGTCTATCATCAGTATTAATAAGTTTCATGGGGGTAATTGGCGTTTCGTCTAATTTTACAGAAAAAGGTTTGACATTTTATTTTAAATCAAGCGTATTTCACAATTTGAATAAAAAGGTAATAAAGTTGTTGAGGCTTATATGCGGGTGGACGATATGATATTCCTTCGACCCGAGGCTCGTTCTGGACTTTCACCAGAAAAATTTAGATGGCCGAATGGTATTATTCCATACACAATTGAAAGAAATCTGTGTAAGCATCTCGAATCAAATTTGAACTCGTGAGAGTGCTAAAAAAAAGTTCGTAAAAACTGCATTTTGGAATATGTTCAGCGATTGAAAACAGCGACATGCTTCACGAAGCAATGGAAACCATTGAAGATAACACTTGTCTCGAATTTGTACCTCGTAAAAAAGAGAAGAGTTACCTGCTCATCAGTCACACACAAAAAGGTTGTTACGCTCATGTTGGGTTCATGAATCGTGGTAAACAGGTACATACAATAATCCGTTTCTCATTCATGATTTCATGTAATCAATCAAATCGAATCTTTTAGTTTTGATCAACATTAATTGTGTATTTTGTTAAATCACAAAAAATTAAATTGAACTAGAAACTCAATTTGGGGAAAGGTTGCTGGAAATTCGCCACGGTTCTTCATGAACTGATTCACTCGATTGGTTTTTCCCATGAACATCAGCGAAACGACCGAGAACAGTTTGTTACAATTCGATATGAAAACATGAAACCAGGCAAGTGGACAGCAATTTTTAAAAAGGACATACATTTATGTAATAAAATTACTATAGTTTATAAACCCAAGTATTCCTATTAAAAATTCCAGAGAAGAAACAAAATTTCAAACTTGATAAAGAAATGGGAATGAATTTTGAATTTGATTACTTTGGCCTGCCCTATAATTACGCCAGCATTATGCACTATGGTCGAACCGCTTTCTCCAATAATGGAAAATCCACAATAATTCCCAGAGTTAGTTTGTCACATAATGTGTTATTTGCACACTCATGGACATAAAGAGCACTGATTTCGTATCGCTTTACTTTTCTAATGATTGATTTTGGTTTTTAAGAGAGTATGGGACATTGAGGACTACGCTTTATATGACGAAGTGGATGAGCACGAAAGACCTATAATTGGACTAAATGATGCACTAACCTGGGGAGATATTACCATGATTAATCGCATGTATGAAGACGAGTGTTGGTAAGATATAGATGCATATGTGTAGAGGAGGCTTATGGGGACCGTTGGTTGGTTTTTTATGTTTATTTTAAAATCTCGACAATGTGTTTCACAGATTTTATTCGCGTCGAAAGTTTTTGCCGAGAAATAAAATTAATGTCAACCACGTTAGCATTTTCAAACCGATTAAAGCTTTTGTCTCTTTGGTTAGTGTACACAAGTCGCCACATAAAAGATTTTGTGGCAATAAAAACTACAAAGCTAGTGATGAGAGCTGTTGTAAAAATAAACTAGAATAAAAAATTGAGCTAATATTTTTTATTCGTCTTGAGCATTGTTGTTGTACGTGCAACAGAATCTCCAGCGAAGATTTAGTTTTCTTTCAACTCTTTGTTCAGTAAGTGACACCCTTTGGATGTCAACCACATGGCACACATGGAGGAAAATGCGATTGAGTTTCCAGTTTTTATTGCTAAAATTTTGGAGATTCAAGATTTTCATTGTCTAGCTTTGACATCAAAAGAAATCTGAACAATTTGACTGTAGGCTTTGGAAAAAAAGTACTTAACAGGGCAATGCAAAATTTACAAATGTTCTAAATGTTCATATTATCCTGCGTGGCACTCACTTCTCGTTACAATTATCATCATGGGTTTGGGACGAAATAGTTTATGGGAGTTCGTGGTTAGGAAATGGTTCTGGCTGTTTGAGTGACATTGGCATTACGCTAAAGCAGTTTGCTGGGTATACATACACGCTAGTTCCTTCCCTTCTGTCATTATTTTGTCAATGTCCGGTCATCACAGGCGAGGACCATTTCTAAGCAAATCCGTCTGAAGAATAACCATCCATCCCGTCAACCACAAAGATAAAAGAAAGATTATGAAAGTCGAAAATCCCAGTCGAATGGACCCAAGAAGAATAAGTGGCTTTGCGTTTATTATGACGAGAGTCAGCTACTCTTTAGGCAGACATGCACGTGAAAGTGGGAACATCATCCCTCAAAAGAAAATTATCTTGGACAGCCCAAACACATCAAATGTAGAATCTTTCTTGGGAACTCTTTTGCTGTGGCACAAGACATTGAACATCTCACGTTCTGTGCGATTTAGGACGACTTGTTTTCTTATTTCCTGCTGTGACTGACGGCAATTCCTCTATTTTAAAGTAAACAAATGACCAATGGAAGAAAAATAAATTGGGTTCCAGCCCTTCCTTTCTGTGGAAAAACTCTTTCAAATCTTTTAAACCCATTAAAGCCACAGACAACGATTTTTGCATCATTTCATCCATCCACTTTCTTCATCTAAAGTGTCAACAATGGTTGTGGTTTCTAGAGTCATAGGCATATAGATTGATTGCGTTCTTGAGCATTACGTTCATTCAGGCAGAATTCAACGTTTCAAAACACATGAATACTCAATAATGCACATGTTTGAAAGAATATACTAATTAAATATAATTTGCCTAACAGAATCATGTTGCGTCATGAAAAAAAATGAAATCATTGTCTGGGTCACAACTGCACAAATATTAGATAGTAAAATTAGTTAATAAAAAATCATAAAAAATTCGTAATGTGGAACAAGAAAAAATCGAAAGTCTTGATAACCTATGCCTGCTACAATTTATTATTTATATAAATTAAATTAATTGAGCACACCTCTTACCTGATAATGACGTGGGAAAGGGAAATGGAATAGAAGAGCAAGGTTAAGTCAAGAAATTAGGAGAAATTATACACGCGGATGCTCAATAAATCAGCGACTTTTTTCTCTCGAATTGTGCGATTAGCAATATGCGGTAGGCACGCGTGGGTAAAAACTCAATCAACAAAGTCTTTCTGTCGCACTTGAATTCTAGAGCAACATTTTCACATGCATATAAATACTTTATGTACATCGTGCAACAAATACTTTTACTTTCCTCTGTCACATTTACAGAAATGTCACTTTATAGAATACGTAGTGCAGACATTATTAGCAGAACTACTGTATTGTTGCACTGCTGTAGACTTCATTCACCAGTAAGCTGCGTAAACAATAAAGACGACAAAAACACTGAAGCAAATTCCTCATTGCATTGCACACACTTTCAGAAAATTCCAGCAACTTGACCTCCTAACCCTGCAGGTCGCGAACAAAGTAAACTAATGTACTTTTCGCGCATACTTATTTCGTAAGTCACAAGACATTCCATTCTCATGGCATGGGAAAATGTTGATTCGGCGAAATCCACTACTGAACTAGTAGTTAAATATAATATTGTTATTAATGAAATGAAAACTTAATGTGCGGCGACATTTCATAGGTCAACGCAGTTCCAAATTCTAGTTCAGGGCATTTTCTCCCGTTCCCAAATGTTAAGCAGTCTGATGTGAGCTCTAGACTTTATGATGATGGCATTGCATTATTCATGCATTTATTTGTGGTTTGTTATGACTAATGGCATCCAGTCAGCTAATAGCTCTGAGTTATGGCTAGTTTGAGACGTACGTTTTAATTTAATGAGGAGTTCATGTTTCAATGGTCTGCTAAATAATTTGGACAACCGGCATGAGTCTGGATATTGCACTGCTTTTATTTCCCCTGCGATATGTAGTTTACTATTATTGTATTATTTTTTTATGTTGTAACAACAAGCTCAGACAGATTGTCTTTTCATTGTACGTTTGTTTTGAGAGAGTGGCCGAGTGAAAAGTCCCACGCCGAGATTTTATTGCTTACCAACACTTTGAAAACACGACCACTCATAACTTTTTATGGTTTTTATCATATTTCTGCAATTAATTTGTACCAAACTCATTCTCGTTCCAAAATGTGTTCATATTATTCTTATGAACATGTCACATTCCACATTCTTTTTGAACATTAGCAGCAATTTCTGGACATGCTTTAAAACCCCGAAAAGTGTAATTTTAAAGTAGTATTTTGATTACATTATGCTTTAGTTAATTATTTTATGTTTTCAAGAATATAATTATGACTATGAATACTATGAGTTATTTAAGGTAAAATACTTGATATATCAACTCAAATCAAATTGTCCTCATTATGTATTATTTAACACTTATAAATTGAGGCTTGAGTTTTTCATGCTTTGACATTTTTCCTCTTATTTAATCTCCATGTACATATTTAATTAGGTAGACTGCGAAAATTTAGAGGACCGCCCAATTTATTGTCTTTCTTGATTCTTAATAACAATAGCAAACGGCTTTTGTCATTATTGGGTAAATTTCTGAATATTCCGAAATATATATGACCTGTTACTGGGACTGAAATGACCTTAAGGCTAAATGTATTGTGTACATTGATGGGGTATACGCACTTGTAGTTTGGTCAGTTCCGTGAATTAACAGATCGGTACCTTTTGAAAAGGTTTGACCAGACAGATTTTATTGTTCCAAATGTCGAAATATTGATTGGTAGTTGGAACAAAGTTTGAGTCCACCCTGATGCATTTACAGATTGTATGAAGTAAATATGCCACTTTGGTGTACTTTTGTTGTTGCTTAAATCTCCAACTATAGGTTGAGGGGAGGAATTACTTATTATTTGCTGAAATGGAGACAGATAGACGAGACGAAAAGTCCCATTCTAGTAGAAAGATAAGTGAAATTGTGCGCTACCTTTTCATTATTGATGCCATCAGTAGGAAGAGCAATAATCAAGTGAAAAGTGTAACTACAACTGTTTGGTCTTGAAATTCGAGTCTAATCTTTGTAATCTGCCTGTTTCTCCGATGTAGGCTAATTCCGGCTTAGGCATCTCTCTGTTTGACAAGGTGATTTCGTATATTTTTAGATACCTATTGTTCCAGCTTGTTGTGAAAACTCTGACAGGCGTTCCACGCAACAAAGGTGGTTTGCTTTCTAATAAATAACGATATAAATTAAGTAAGAATAGTAAAACTAATTTTTATACTCGTCTATTTTGAGCTAAATGCTTAGTACTTGAAGTAATTAATTTTTGCAGGAAAAGCCGGAAATTACCAAATAATCTTGTTTACAATCATGGCCAAGATTCACGTTTATTAGACAATTCCCTCGCACAGATTTTTAAGCCACAGTTTAAAAATCCTGAAGCCAAGTAATTAAATACATGTTAATAATACACGTGTGTGTGTATATTATATGGGGACAACTCTAATGCTGTTGTATAATATGCCATGGTCATTCTAAAGAATGAGTGAAGTCTAATTTCTTGGGATTGTTTCATGCACTAAATATGTACGAGTGTTTGCTTTTCAACTGCATATATTCACTGATAAAGTGAGACTGCAAAAGTGAGCGTCACGTAATTATGAACAAAGTACTCAAAGTATTCTGAGAATGGGAGCAGTTACATACACAGAGATAGCATAGCACTTCATTACTACTGACTGCAGGTAGATATTGTCCATGCACTGTCGGGCACTTGACTGATGAGTAAAGCAAACTTAATAATGATCATCCATCGATCGGCGTTTCTTTGTTGGTGCTTAATTACAATGGCAAACACTCGTCTTACTTAAGGAGTCACAAAGTGCATGATGGTGACTAATAGAAAATTCAATGCACAACAAGTCAAAAATGTATAATGTGTCTTCATTTTTTTCACCATGATGATGATGATGCACAATACTCAACAGCATCTATGTAGGAAATATATTTTAGAATTAATAAGTGATTAATTAAGGTACTTATTTGCAAGTTTAAGAAATAGTTGACTTGGCAGTTGAAAACAAACAAGAGGCTCCGTCGCCTATACAAATACATTGTTCCCTCAGGGCATGTCCCTTATGTACAATGCTGGACAAGATTTGTATAGAAATTTGGTCGTGGTAGTCGTGGTGGCATTTGAGCGTCTGCTGAGCGTCAGGTGTCGACAAAAAGTGTGGGAAGATGGTCATTCCCACGACTCCCGACTTCTTATTGTAACCGACGATGATGATATGCCTTTCAAATTCTTCCACAATGCACGTCCAGGGCTAATCCATAACCTCATGCCTACGAAACATCATGTTCCAATTCCTGATTCCGGCATTGTGTCATGTATTCTATGTATGTTTCCGTAATTTTGTTATTTGCCAACCGTAAATTAAAATATAACACAAATAAAATATGTATGCATGCAGAATTTATAGAATTTTGTAAAATCTTGTAGAATCAAAACTTTTTCGCACTTATTTCGTAAATTACTTATGATATCAACAATTTCAAAATTCTGCAATATTTCTCAAACTGTGGGAGACCGATGCTGAATGATTTGATGTCACTTCTAACCTTATGACCATGAGCTAATAGACCTTAAAAATATAGCATTGTTGGGCCCCCATCCACCATCGCATTCAACGCTTGACAACTATTTGTATATGGTCATCACTCTAACTACATACTTAACTGCGATCGGTCGGGCTGTGAGACACAGTCACCTCATAACATTAGGCTCAGTCAGCATTGCATTGGTGTGCCCAGTATTTATAATGGCATTAAAACTTGTAGGAGTACCTCACTTATTACACACAGCCACCAGTGCTGAAGCTGTGCGGTAAATAGTCTGGGAGCATGATGAGGATCGTCAGTCAGCGTGGTAGGGAGCAAGTGAACCTGCTTCGAGCTAACCTCTAGTTCCATTCCACTCTCGCCTTTTATCTCCGAGAAATTAGTTGTCGGAAGTCATTCAGACTCCAACGCACGACCAGAACGCAGTGCAGGCAGAGCTCTCCAATTTTAATGTAGTTTCAAACATTGCTCAATAATTTACTCTTCCTAGAGAAGCTATAAAATAACTGGGTTGTTGGCCCAGCTTTAAGTGTATTTTTTTTGTGCGCGGACAATCAGTCGTGTGTAGTGACAATCATGGCAGCTACCGTTGCTCAGGAGGAACAACCAATTTCCCGGACTTATCAATACCGCAAGGTAATTTTTATAAATCTTAATTTTGTCAGATTATTGAACCACGTAGAGAAATAGAGTGAGGAGAAGTGTAGTACGTTCATAACACAAAAATTGTAAAGCACAGTGAATTGCGGGAATTTGAGACTATTCGTTAATCATCATTTTCTCTTCGTTTCGATCAACAGGTAATGAAGCCAATGCTCGAGAGGAAACGCAGAGCACGGATAAACCGGTGTTTGGATGAATTGAAGGAGCTACTGGTGGGAGCACTTCAGAGCGAAGGAGAAAGCGTCAGTCGTCTGGAGAAAGCGGTAAGAACATGACAACACTTCGTATTTTTGTAATTTTTAAAGTTCTCGGCAATGAATTATTAGTTAAACACTTTAACTAATTTGCATATGTAATTTGATTTATCAGGACGTATTGGAACTCACGGTCCGCCACCTTCACAAACTACGAAGGAGTCAACAATTAAGTGAAAATAGTGCTGGCGAAAGATTCCGCCAAGGATTTGTTCATTGTGCAAATGAGGTTTCCAAGTACATCTCGTCCGCAGTATCGGCCACTGCTGCACCATCCGCCTCCTCCCTCGACCTCACCGTCTCCACCCGACTCGTGTCTCACTTGGACCAGTGCATTCGGTCAATCGAATCTTCGCAGCTGCACCATCAACAAATTCTTCACCACCCAAATGCGATGCCACCACCAATGCCACAAGGATCTCCAAGAACGTCTCAACTTTCCCCGAATGGATTCCCAGTCTCAATGATGAGTCCGGTGGGTGGGTCGCCAGGAACTGGGCCAGGAGGTCTCAACATTCTAACCTCGTATACCCCACCCTCGTCCCCAGTGTCCTCCTCGTCCTCGTCCCCCAACAGCAGTGGGAGCAGCAGCGGACCAGGAGGCCCCCACCAAAAGTTGTACTACATTCCCTCATCCGCCTCATCAACAGGTAGTCTCAGCCCAATTCCACCCGCACATTATAATCCGGTCAACAACATGTACCCTGCTGCCCACTTGATGGGAGGACCGCAACCACTTTCTCTATGCACCAAATCCCCCAACCCGGATGAACCTTTCGACTTGTCCAACAATGTTTGGCGTCCGTGGTGAAATAATAATTTTGGTCATTTTACTCGACCAAATAGTAAATGTGCCTTTAACTGACGGCTATCAAGCCAGGCCCCAAAAACCCACTTGTCTTTCAGAATCAAATCAGTGAGAAACTAGAATTAAGATGCTATATACTTATTTATATTATTACATAAATAGCTTTAAACTTCCCCATACACACATATTTACGTGCATACAATGACCAAATAGATTTTTATAGGGTCGCACCTACCTATTATTTAACTGCGCCAACCTTCTTATTGACTACATATTTACATAGAATGAATACATCGAGTTTGTTCATAAATCAACAAAATATTTTATAGAGTAATAACAGTATTTATCAGTTTAGATAGTTAAATATAATTAGTTGGATAGCTAGATGTTAGTCACGTAGTGAGTTGAAGTGAAAGTAGTCGTATTTTTCTATACATACTTACATCACAACTTGACGGAATATCGGGAATGCGTGCAGACAATCAAATCATTAATGTGTAGGTTAAGAGCTCAATATTCAGTGGGTAACTTACTACGTCCATAATGAGTGACTGTAATATTAATTATCTTGTATTAGTTAATTTATTTATGTTAAATACATACGTAGTTAGTTAGTCAGTTAATCAATCAACACACAATGCCTATCATAGCATAGGAAAATACGCCGTGGACAATCAGTTCAATCAAATGTGGACGTTTTATGGTTGTTTGAAATGAAATCAGATCCCTTCGTTCGATCGAGGGGTTAACATAATCACTCATTTCAAACACCAGCGTCCACTTCTTGATGTGATGTACATAGAAATATAATTTACAAGTCTTGTTATCATCGCACTTCTTCAAGCACGCACAAATCTCTTTGCTTTATTTGATTTTGTATCAAGTCACACACACACAGTGAACGACATTTAAAGTACATTTAAAGTATCAGATATCTTAATGTTAATTTACATTGTTGTTTTGTTGTTGTAATGGAATCGTCAACAGTTCCGATAGTCAATTGATCACTTATGTAATGGTTATGTATTTCTTTGCGAATCATTTTTGGTATTCAATAAATGTGGATCTCACGTTAAAATTTATTTATACTTGCACGTATCAGTGTGCCCCAGTTTACTCATCCCTTAATTTGGTCCATCTCTCTGTACATTATCATCTCATGGTCGTTGGCTGCATCATTTTCTTGCATTTTACAAATTTTGCATCGTAAAATAAACCAACTGTTCATTACACAAATGACTTTTAGGCATAAAGACATAACAAGACAATAGAATCAAGCACTCGTAAATTTGTCTCATCTCCTCCTTCACGCACTCCTTGAATTTCTGTTGATAGTCAACCTACAAAAAAGTCATTACTTAAATATAGGCACCATAATATGCTTGCATGCACAGTAGTTAGCATCGTGATGAGGCACACTTCCAACTTGTGATATAGACTTTTGTGAATTTCCAATGCAGATTTTAGCACTTTCGCCAAGCCCATTAGCAGAAGACGGTCTACTCTTGAGATTTCGTAAGGTAGCTCTCCAACCGCCACCAACCAATGGGAACAAGTCACACGTTCTTTGTTCTGTTTCACCGTCTATTTCGCATCTCGAAATCTTTCTGAAGGGGAGGTAAGCCACTGCCTCTTTTGCTCAAGACGTGGAACGCTAATTCTGCTTCAGCTCTCATGTTTACCGTGCCGTGCGGTGGGCTGTCATCTTCATCTTCGTCACAAAAGTCACACGATCGCAGCAGTTTTTGATTTGACTTTAGCCACTAATTGCAATTAACACTAACTCACCAACCAATCAATTATCCCAGATGCAGCCAGAGTTTAGTTGCTACTCATTAGTTGCTCCTTATCCCTCTTTTAATTTATAAAAGTGGTGGTCAAATTAGGCATCCGATTAATTTAACTTTAGCTGTAATTGTTTTCGAAGAAAGACCAATAGCACAATATTTATATTTACATGCCTATTGGTTGATGATTGTTGACACTGTTGACAGCGAGATATTCAGTTGAAATTTTGACGTAAATATGTGCATGTGACATTTGTCACTTCTCATGGCATGCCGATATGATGATGAAGGCAAGATGAGATGAAGTAGCAAAGTGACATTATGGTCACACAGTGATAACTTTTTGTAGTAACAGATGTTTCAAATTTAATAATAGTAAGACATACTTACTACTTAAATACTTGTGAGTGCTTTGAGTAAATTGATGCTTATGGTATTCATTCGTATGCAATCAGCAAAGAGACCACCAACTTGAGAAGTGACGTTTGAAGAATGTCATGAATTTCTTAAATATTAACGATTTCTTAAACATTGTTTAAACTATTTACTACTCCATCACTCACTTGGTTGTGCTCGTGGCCACCTTCATCATCATCGGCTGCCTCACTATCTTGCACCACAACTCGCAGCCATCAGTCAATTGTTTAGATAAAACACATCGTTCGATTCTTAAGTCAGTGGTCATTAAGTATTGGACATTTACAAATGAAAAATGTTCACCAAGGAGTGAAGTACTGTTCTGTGTATTTATCATCCATCCACCATCACAGCATCGGAACCTCTTTGGGCAACCGCCACTTGACCAAAGTAAATAGAAATGAGAAGAAGAATCTCCTGGGAAAAGCAAACAGACGCGATTCAAAGATCAGACAAAGCAAAAGCCTCTTTCAATCTGAGATTTTCAAAATCTTCAAATAAGTCAAGGATTCTATAAACAGAGAAGCATGCATAGCCATGAGTGAAGGGAGGGCTGTGTCGTTTGGGCACATGATCACAGACTCTTCATGCACTTGTTACTTTTTACTTGGTTACTTTTATCCTTATTTATCTATAATAATTACATCGTCGTCTCGCACCCTCCAACTGATCTCACCATATCCCCTGCAAAAAAAACAATTGAAGTGCATCCATGATGAATCTGCATATAATGGAGGGTTGGTAAGTACAGTAAAATGAGATGAGATGCTTTGAATAGAAAAGGCAACAGATGAGCATTATTTTCTACGTCATCTTTGAATAAACAGTGTGTTGGTGGGGATGAAATTATAAAAAAACTAGCCAGTTTTTTTGTAACTCACTCAGCTCTAAATACATGTACATATACGTAGTAGTAAATGTGTACAAATCAAGTCAAGTCTAGTTCTATTAAGAAATGATCATGGGAGACGGCTCTTAAAGCATTTTCTTGAGACATTTCGTGTTAAAACTTGGTATGATTTTCTCATGATACGACAATTACGATGCTGCTTGGAAACTTTCTGGAAACTGACTGTCGGAGGAAATACATATTAACAAAAAAATCATTGTCTAAATCAAACTTGTAGAATATTTAGTTGGATCAATCGTGCTCATTTGCGTAGCGTATGTACATGTGAGAAGCTGGAGTGAATTGAAACATTGGTTACGTACTTATGTACATATAATAAAAAGTGAGCGATGAGAAAGCCCTGTCCGTCAGATAAGAAAGGAGAATCGGATCCACATGTTGAGAAAGCGCACACACGATACAGCACGTGCTAATGTTTTGTTTGTGCATAAGTTATCCATCCTCCTCTTCTTCTATCCACCTCTCTTTCTCTCATGGTGAGTGTCTGCCCTTAACTGGTTTGGATTCCTTTGCATCATCATCTCCTCTGTTGGTTTACTACATGCTTTTCTTTTTTATCCCCTGTGTATTACACGTACATAATAACACTGTGCTTCCCACGTTCAGCAGCCAGGAGGACCACGGACCAAGAGTGGACGAAGGAGGAGGATGATATGGCTAAAGGCTATCATCATTCCCATAAAAAACATCCTTTTAAGACACAATCAAGCCGAGACAGATCTCACTCACTCACACTCACAAATAGTTTAATCTTCAACTGGGTTTGATATCTGGTACGTAATAACATCAAAAAATAATGCACTCTCTCAGCTCGCTATTGACCTGAATCTTGTCAAACATTCGTCATACATATGCTTAATTATGACACACGATGCACTATTTTTGCGCATTCTCGGACTATTTATATATTCATTTAGTATTAAAAAACGAACTCGTTTGCATGTGCTGAATCATTTTATTTTTGTGAAAGAATCAAGACTGAAAAATTAGTTTGCATGGCTGCTGAAAGTCATGTAGATAGAGGAAAGATTGAATTACGGTTATCTAAAAGGTTGGCATACAGCCGCGGTCAGGGTGAAGAGATTGGAATCTGCAAAGGGGAAAAGTTAACTTTAGTTGTAGTGGGACAAAGTTAACTAACAAGGTTGGATGCAGTAGGCAGTCAGGTAGCCGGCCAAGCACGATGTGCATGCTAGGAGGTAGTTTATATGCAAAAAACGTGTCGTAATTCGTAATAAGGCTGGTATTCTGGCCCGTACAGTGAGCGAGCCGTGCCCCAAACAGCGTGCCATAAAGATAGGAAGTACCAATCTCATCTCTCCTCTCGACCTTTACTTAAGTGAGGAACGTCGTCATCATAATCATCATCTTGGTAAACATCTTGGCATCCACTTTATCAGTTATAAGTATAATGCTGCTGCTCCTCAAGAAGCCAAACCAAAGTCTGGGAACATCGCGATCGGCGTGTTCTCACGCTTACTTTCGCCTCCGGCCTTTGCTTTGTATTGTTTCCATTGTGTTCTAACCACCACCACCACCACCACCACCGCCTTGGCTTATCCCACCACAAACCGTGGGCATACTCTGTTTCGCCTTCTTCTTCTCAGTACAAGAAGATCACCAGAATCGTGCCTTTGTGCATTATAGCTGGTGTGCAGCAGTGGTGTGGGTGATAGCAGTTTGTTAATGTGAATGGTAATGTTGCTTTGGTTTTTTCTCCCCCTCTTTCTCCGACGACCTGTCGTCTTATTACTGCGATTGCTTTGTACTTGTTTGCCTTCTCTGTTTATTGCCACTTGTCCCCATCAAAGTATCGCTCACCACTTGCTCCCTATTCTCCCCTCCGTCTGCACGTACTCGTAATATTTGAGCCGACATACATAATCACCAACACATTATTGTGTATTGTTTAAACTCGATTTTCGATTTATTGGGCGGGCGACCAAACTGAGGTAAAACTAACGGTCGGTCGCTTCCACTACTCTCGTGTTGGCACCTTTGGTCACCACTTATGTGCAGCACGAAGGAAGAATTGTCCTCTTTCTTGCTTTCATTGCTTTCTTAAAATAACCTCATATTGGCATTTCTAAAATCAAAATTCCTTAATTATCCTATTCATTTTCATATACGGTCTGCGACTCATCAAATTTGGTAGTAATTATATGATATCGTTAGTTATGGCGTTATTGGCTATGCTGCTCATTATCACTGCGTTCTATTTAATGGTGGCATTAAGAATGGTAGTATTTAGCAGGGTAGGGCCGGTTCTCTCTAGATTTCTCATATCATCACGAGTGAAATTAAAGATTATTTGATTCAAACACATCGAACCTTTTGGCATGTCAACACAGGTCACCCTATGATCGAAAGCACGGAGAATTGATGAATTGGTTACGCAAAAGATGAACTCGGGCCCAAGTGGCATAGTAGCCCACTCCTGTACATGCTCCGTAGGGGTCACATCAATCTGAGACGCATGAACTCGTCCACGCTCTCAAAACTATCTTATTTCGCAACATGTTTCACAAAATTATGACGCTGCGTAAACACACTCCCTGATTTACTATATTATTATAGCGACATAAATATGCATGTCTATACACCCGATGCTTACTCTGGGTTGACTATGTCCTAATAATACTCAACGGTATTGCATATTGATTTATAGATATATGTAGCTACATAAAGATTATAAATGAACTATGTGAACTTTAATTCACGAAAACCAAAGCTGAATTTCAATTTCTAGGTTCAAGGGCAAGTTAACAAGTGTAAATGGTTTTCAGATGATTGAAAGAGGGAGGAGGAATTAAAGTTTGGCACTGATGCACAAAATGATGCACAAGATCCCTTGAATATAAATCTTTAATGATTTATGCATTATCATAAAATTTAGTTAGTTAATCTCGCATGTGCACCGACTCAAGTATTGATAATTAAATGCAATGGTCAACATATTTTTTCTATC